GATCACATGAATAGTAGTAAGCAAGATATCACTTCTGACATCATTGCTTACTACGTGTGAAATGTGTGAATGATCACAGAGATCACATGGTATAGGGCTATTCACAACAGCATTGTACCATGTGACAAGCTGTGACCAATCATAGCTCACACAGTGTCTTGGAAATTCGCCTTCAACGAATTTCTTCTTACCGTGAGTGTCCACAGTTGGATGCGCAGTAATCCCCCATAAAGCTGTGCAAACTTTGCTTACCGTGACTGCAGCTAAACTCCACGATTCCTGCGCCTCCAACTGGTTTAGCTCTGTTGAGATGTGGGGAAAATGGAGCTCCCGTTACCCAGGAATGATCACACGACACTCTCAAGTTGCAGTTGGAATTCACTCTGAGACTGGCTCCAACCCCAGCCTCCTGTTTTATTACAAGCACACACACGCCCCCCCACATGAGAGTCAGGTCAATCCCCTCCCACAGAACAATGTATGGGGAGTGTCTATACACAGAATGTACATCCTGATTGGAGCGTAGCCTTTCCTCTTATCTATGCTGGAAGCCAGTTGAACCAGTCCTCCCCTCCCCCTGGTGGGCTCTCTGTGGAGAGCGAACTTCCCATCCCTTACATGCTATCAGCTCCTAGTAGTATGTACATTCTCTGTACAAGCATCCCTTAGATTAAACAGTGCCAGTCTGTATCTGAATGGACCCGATACGATCTTTATTAAAACACATCCATCCAGATACAGTTCAGGTCGGTAGTGGTTTGTAAGATATACATGAGCCTACACGCGGAGTTCGCACTGCCCGGCGCCTGGCTATACGAAGTCCATGTGGTACTATGCTGCTGATATGTGGATACAGGCCCGCGGCCTACCGCCAGCGGCATTCGCATCGAATGCCGTGGTGGTATACACGCTGGTCTATAAGCGCAGATCTGCCATCTTATCCATTACCGAGCTGAGTAGTGTAATATATACATTGTAAATGCGTATGGCCCAATTGCAGCCTTCAGAGCTTTAATTAAACCACACGAGAGACATATGAATAACACTAATATATGACACATTTAAAGTTCAACCTGTAATTTCCATGACAACAGTAGTTCTCAATGGCTGCAAGAATGCAGCCAGAGAGAAGGAGAAATGATTGCTTTTACAGCCTCAGTTCAAAAAATCAGTTTAAAAAAAAAAAAAAAAAAAAAAATCGCCATCACCCCCCACAAGTAGTACAGTGTCACCATGGTGACACTGTACTGCTAGGATGATGGAATGTAAAAAAAAAACATAAATAATAATATAAAAAAAACGTAAAAAATTTTTTTTTTAAATTATAATTTTTGGTTATAAACTAATTTGGGTTATTTATTTTTTACTAAAAAGATAACTGAATAAATTTTGGCCAAGATTTATGATGAAAGATTATTTATCTGCAAAATGTTATAAAAAACACTTTTTTCAAAAGTTTTGGACTTTTTCATTTATATAGCATAAAAAAATAAAAATCCCCAGTGGTGAATAAATACCACCAAAATAGTTTTATCTGTCTCAAAAAAATGCTAAAATATTCATATGAGTACAGTGTTGCATGACCGCGCAATTGTCATTCAAAGTGTGATAGCGCTGAAAGCTGAAAATTGGCCTGGGTAGGAAGGGGGTGAAAGTAGTTAACCTACGTTTTTCAGCAGTCAGTTTCCATCGTTCAGAAGAGTTTTCCAAACAGTACAGTCTTCCATTGATTGATAGTCCATGATTTTTGGGTGTTGCACCACTCTCTCCTCTTCTGAGCCTTAATATCGGTCACTTGTGGTTTAGCAATTGCAGCTCGCCCGTGAATATTTTGCTGATAGAGTTCCCTCTGCACAGGTTTTGTGGACACGGTCTTTGGAAGACTGGAATGGAGTCATTTTCTTATTCCGGGTCACAATCCTGGCCAACTTCTTTTTGTCTCTTACGGTCAGCTGACCGTGTTTTTGTGCTTATGATCATCAGATGACGTTTTCCCCGAAACTGTATACGCCGTCATAACCTTTGATACTGGACCTCGCCACACGGCAAACAAATTGGCAACTTCAGTCACAGAAGCACCAGCTAAGCGGCGCCAACAATTTGCCCTCTTTGAAGCTCAGTAAGTTCTGACATGACTCCGCATTACTAACAGTCAATGATGAAAGTGAGGCTTCCCAACTGTTAGCTAAGTGTCTCATCACACAGCGGAAGCAAAAGAACGTTACATCACTTTCCGCTTTTACCACCAAACACGTTGTCATGTTCGCACCTTCAAATCATAGAGTTTCTATTTTTTGGTCCAACCCCTGAATATATTGGTACTGTAAATAGAATACATTATTATTTTGTATTTCAATATTGATCATCTATTGCCCTTATTTTTGACAGTCATTGCAGCGAATACTGGCTTGCGCTTAGACCCCGCGCCATCCGCCAGGAGGATCTGCTTGTACATTTCCAGCTGACCATTCATGAACCTCTCTACCCCTACAACCAGTGTCCTCCAATCCTTATCTCAGAGAATGACAAGATTAGAGGGATCGATCTTTCCAAATGGTAAGGTATCTAACATATATTTTGACTAAGGAATTTATCCTCAGTGGACAGTGTACCGTCCCATTATACTGAGAATAAAAATCTGTAAATAAAATACAACCTCCAGAGGTATTCTTATTTCATTATTCCATTCCACTTACTGTGGGTCTGGGGGGTGGTCCCAGGAGGTTGTCTGGGGGGATGCTTGGGGGATTTTTTTTCGGGGGGGGGGATTCCTGGGGGCAGGGCTGCTGTTAGAAACCAAGTTGCCCCATACAGCCAACTGACAGGGCCCCCTTAAAAAAAAACAAAAACAGTTTTCTGTTTCAGTTATGAACACAGTGAGTGATCAGTACTGATCACTCATTGTGTTCATTCAGGAAAGGAAGGGGCTGGTTAATGTGACATATTTATCAGACCGTTCCCCCACTCTCCATCCTGAAGGATCCTATTGGGTGCCTGAAGCTGGAAGGAGAGAAGGGGAGCCGCACTGTGGGGGCCCAGGCAGCTGGGTGAATCAAATGTGCACAGAAAGGGTTATCGGCATGGCAGGAAACTACTGGAACTGATCCCCTGTATGGCTGTCTCTGCAGCAGCTGAAAACCATCGGGAGGGGGAGGAGAAGAATCCAGCTTTCAGATGCTGCAGAGAGCCATACAGAGGATCATTTCCAATAATTTCCCCCCCCCCCCCCTTTATGCCAATCACCCTCTCTGCCCACATCCAATTTACCCAGCTGCCTGGGCCCCCCCCCCCGGCTAGCCTGGGCCCCATACAGAAGGATTGGTGGTATCCCTTTATCCATGGCCCTGCCTGGGGGGTTGTTTTGGAGGGTCAGTGCGGGTGCTGCGGCTACACACCGGGACGGATCGGGTACCTTCTTGGGGTTGCATCTTGGCAGTGCCTACTTTGGGAGGGTTACTTGTGTGGGTGGGTGATCGTATGGTTGGGAGTGGTTTTCTGGATCTTTGATGCAATGTGTTTTTAGTTTGTATGGTTCATAGACATTTCATAAATAACAGTTTGAGGAAAGCCTCTTTGGTGTGTAGCCTACTTTCTTTTTCTTTTGGTTTTTCTTAAATTTCCTTAGGCGACACCCTACCAGGTGTATCTGGTGGCACCTCCTTATAATTCTGGTGGACTCCCCGGCCTCTTTCAATTTTTGCACGGTATTCTTATTCCATACACAGTAACCTTTTTTCTTTTTTTTTTTTGGAAAGCAACTTTTTAATAAATGTGAAAAGTTATGTTTCAAAAAATATAAAAAATACAAATCAGATAATGGATACAATACATCAAATAACTTTGGATAACAGTGTCTGCATTCTCATGGCACATGCTGTATATCATCATTGCACAGACATGCTTCCTTCCACCTCATTTATTGGGAATGGAGATATCAGATTATATTCCTGTGAAGAATGGAGTGAAGGGATGGACTCTGCTCAAACCGACTCCAGGAGTCCAATGTTGAGGAACGGCCTTAGCCGCCTCTCTGGCCCAAGGCAATTCCTCAACATTGGACTCCTGGGAAAATTAGAAATATGATGAGTGGTTGCCAGTTGCAGTGTTGCACCGCATCCCTATACAACCCCTGGGGTCGGTTGAGTGGCATCCATTACTTCACTTGTATTGGCTGACACTAGAATCGTGCGGACTCATGCTCGCCTCTTCAGACTTGCCGGTGGTGGTGATCCTTTTCCTTCCATCCATAGCTTGGTGCGGCGCCATAGGGTATACTTCACTGTGAAGACTGGAGTTTTATATATCATATGGCCCACAATTATTATTATTATTATTATACAGGATTTATGGCACCAACAGTTTGCTCAGCGCTTTACAATATAAAGTGAGACAATACAGCAACAATACAGTTCAATACAAGAGGGTGGAGGGCCCTGCTCCTAGGAGCTTACAATCTTAAAAGGAGGGGCTAGTGGTACAAAAGGTAATAACTGTGGGGGATGGACTGGTAGGAGGAATAGAAGATTCCGTTATTAGCTGAAGGCAGGATAGGCTTCCCTGAAGAGATAGGTTATCAGAGATTGCCTAACAGTGAGCAGAGTAGGCGATCGTCAGATCGATTGTGGTAGAGAGTTCCAGAGGATGAGGGAGGCTCGGGAGAAGTCCTGGAGACGAGCATGGGAGGAGGAGACAAGAGAGCTAGAGAAGGTCGTGGGAAGAGCGGAGAGGACGGTTTGGGTGATATTTGGAGACAAGATTGGAGATGTAATTTGGAGCGGAGTTATAAATGGCTTTATATGTTATTGTTAATGTTTTGAATTTTATTTGTGGGCCTGTGTGGCTTTTCTGGTATATAAGAAGTTTTGCTCTCTCATTGAAGCATTTCCAGCACTTGGATCAGGAAAAAGGATGCTCCCCTGTGTGGATTCTCTGGTGTCTAAGAAGTTTTTCTTTTACGATGAAACATTTCCCACATTCTGAACAGGAAAAAGGACGCTCACCTGTGTGAATTCTCTGGTGTCTAAGAAGGCCGCCTTTCTCTGTGAAACATTTCCCGCACTCTGAACAGGAAAACGGACGCTCACCTGTGTGTGTTCTCTGATGTACAAGAAGGCCTCCTTTCTGACTGAAACTTTTCCCGCACTCTGAACAGGAAAAAGGACGCTCATGTGTGTGAATTCTTTGGTGTCTAAGAAGGCCTCCTCTCTCTGTGAAACATTTCCCGCACTCAGAACATGCAAAAGGACGCTCACCTTTGTGAATTCTCTGATGTATAAAAAAATCTCCTTTGTGAGTGAAACATTTCCCGCACTCTGAGCAGGAAAAAGGACGCTCACCTCTGTGAATTCTCTGATGTATAAGGAGGATTCCTTTCTGAGTGAAACACTTCCCACACTCTGAACAGGAGAAAGGACGCTCACCCGTGTGACTTCTCTGGTGTATAAAAAGTTTTCCTTTATTAGTGAAACATTTCCCACACTCCAAACAGGAAGAAGGATGTTGATGTGTGTGAATTCTCTGGTGCCTAAGAAGTGCTCTGTTGTCAGTGAAAGATTTCCCACACTCCAAACATAACAATGAATTGTCTACTGTATAAACTCCTTCATGGTACAAAGGAGACTCCTCGGGATTAGATGGATCCATTGATTTCTTCAAGGAATTTGCTCTTGGAGAAATTTGTTCTGTCCTGTTATCTTGTTCATAATCTGGAAATAAAATAAGATCTCCCTCTGAGGTATTCATACTCCGTACACAGAGTCCATCTGCTGGAAAACAAGGTTTAGAAAAGTGATTAAATGGACGGTGAAGTGCTAATCATGTTAAATACTAAATGTAAAATAATACTAGAGTATGACAACAAAACTATTACCCACAACAAATGAGAAATATACAGTGCAATAATCAGTGCAATTTATACACACAGTGCTCTGATCCTCATGGATCTAATCAGGTGTAACTTAGGTGAAATACACAGGATAACCTGTTTCAAATATAGTGAATCCCTTTTTCCTAATGGAAAAAAAATCAAACCTCCCCCTGCCCCTAAAAGGGACTTAAAGTGGTTAATAAGTGACCCCTTAAGTGTGTGTGTTTTAACCAATTCAATACCGTGCAATTTTACACCTTCCTGCCCAGGCCAGTTTTCAGGTTTCAGCGCTCTTACACTTTGAATGACAATTGCGCGGTCATACAACACTGTACCCAAACTAAAATTTTATCATTTTCTTCACACAACTAGAGCTTTCTTTTGGTGGTATTTAATCACCGCTGGGGTTTTTTATTTTTTGCTAAATTAACAAAAATGACCAAAAATTTTGAAAAAAACACACACTTTTTCTTTGTTTCTGTTAAAAAAGTTTGCAAATAAATAATTGTTCTTCATAAATTTAGGCCGAGATGTATTCTACTACATGTCTTTGGTGAAAATAACCCAAATTAGGATGTATTTTTTAGTTTGTAGGAAAGTTATAGAGTTCACAAACTATGGTATAGATCTGAATATTGATCAATCCTGAAGTACTGACAGTCAATCTAATTTCTTGAGGTCCAAGAATGTCAGAACAGTACAGATATCCCCCAAATGACCCCTTTTTGCAGAGTAGACAGTCCGACGTACTTCATAAGAAGCATGGCGAGTTTTTTGAATTGTATTTTTTTGGTCATAATTTTTCGGAAGATGAAAAAATGTGAAAAATTAGTTTCACTATTTTTTTTTTACATATTGTCACCAGTGCAGTACAGCGTCATCATATAACTGGCATGGACGTGATCAGGGACACTGACTGGTGACAGTATGAAAAAAAAATTTATAAATACATTTTTTTTATTATTCTTTATTAAATTTTTTTTCTTTTTTTTAAGATTTTTTTTTTCATATTTCACTATGACCAAAGTAGTACAATGTTACCATAGTAACATTGTACTATTTCGGGGAAGTGATCAGTATTTTTTTTTTTTTTTTTTTTTTACACAATTTGCTTATAGCAAAGAATTATTTTGCTATAAGCAAGCATTTACCTGAATGACATCGATTCATTCAGGGTTTTTTTTTTTTTGTGCTTAGCTGTGATTTGGCCACAGCTAATCACATGACATGTGCATGTGATTAGCTGTGACCATTCACAGCTAGACACTAGTATACAATGGATGGCATGAATGAAGCCATCCATTATAAACAACTGTCATGTGACCTGCTGTGATTGGTCACAGCAGGTCACATGGTACCGGCAACTGGGGCCGATACTCAGATCTGTCATCGGCTGTGTCCGAGGTACACGGCCGGTGACAGATCGCGCCGCCGCGCGGCTCTGCAGGAGCGCAGTCTGCGCATGTGCGGGAGGACGCCATATGGCATCCACCCAGAACGCTGATGACATTTGCCGGCCGCCATTCGGCCATAGGGCAGGCGGCAAATGGTTAAAGACCACAGCTATATGATATTGGACATTTTTTGTTTTTCATATTTATAATTCATATAAGTGTATAAGTGTTTGCTGGACTTTTGTTTGTTATTAGTTTACCAATAATTGGCACTTTACACGTTTATTGTTGTTTTTTTTCCACTCTTAAGGGGTCACTTATTAACCACTTTAAGTCCCTTTTAGGGGCAGGGGGAGGTTTGATTTTTTTTCCATTAGGAAAAAGGGATTCACTATATTTGAAACAGGTTATCCTGTGTATTTCACCTAAGTTACACCTGATTAGATCCATGAGGATCAGAGCACTGTGTGTATAAATTGCACTGATTATTGCACTGTATATTTCTCATTTGTTGTGGGTAATAGTTTTGTTGTCATACTCTAGTATTATTTTACATTTAGTATTTAACATGATTAGCGCTTCACCGTCCATTTAATCAGTGTTACTTCACCTATTAAGGCCAGGTCAGGTGATAGCAGCTTTATATCTGTAGGGACATCCATATAAGCGCAGAAGGACTTATTGATTATTAAAGTTTAGAAAAGTGTGATAATAATTCTTCAAGTCTTGTATTCAACAGTCTCATATATTGATGTAACTTTAAACAACTTCACAGACTTCTTAAATTGGATTGGAAGCAATCATAAAAAATATATGAAAACCACATACTGTATACCCAACATACCCAAACCACACCAGGTAACAGATTTTGTGTATTGATGACATTGTTGCTGTGAGAACAGAAATAGACCTTTAATCATCTCATATTATAGTAAGATGATAGTGAAGGACCTTTCATATGATGTCCAGTATCTCCTCCTCATTTGTTGGGAACATGACGTTATATTGAGGAATGGAGATGGACCTTTCATATGATGTCCAGTATCTCCTCCTCATTTGTTGGGAACATGACGTTATATTGAGGAATGGAGATGGTACTTCATATGGTGTCCAGTATCTCCTCCTCATTTGTTGGGAACATGATGTTATATTGAGGAATGGAGATGGACCTTTCATATGGTGTACAGCATCTCCTCCTCATTTGTTGGGAACATGATGTTATATTGAGGACTGGAGATGGACCTTTCATATGGTGTCCAGTATCTCCTCCTCATTTGTTGGGAACATGACGTTATATTGAGGAATGGAGATGGACCTTTCATATGGTGTCCAGTATCTCCTCCTCATTTGTTGGGAACATGACGTTATATTGAGGAATGGAGATGGACCTTTCATATGGTGTCCAGTATCTCCTCCTCATTTGTTGGGAACATGACGTTATATTGAGGAATGAAGATGAACTCTTCATATGGTGTACAGAATCTCCTCATTTGTTTGGAACATTGGGCTATATGGAAAACACAAAGATTACAATCTACAACGGAGAACTAGAGATTTGTATACCATACGGCCTGCCATAACTCTACTTGGTTTGAGAGGTAGATACATTGACGATGTTCTTATTGTCAACATTTACAGTTTCTTAACCTTTTCTTAATGGAAGGATGTGAAGTTCTCTGTACACAGAAACAACTCCTCACAAATAAGATGAAAAATGTGTCACAGAAAATGTTTTTCAGCAACTTAGTATTTTATCTAAAAAAGTATAAAGGCTACCAATATTTGTAGGAAACAAACATGGTAGAATGATGCACCAGGGATGTATCTGATTGCCATTTGGGATAGGCAAGAAATAATTTTCTTGTTCAAAAAAGTTCTGCTTTATATGGGATTCTGCCTTCATTTGGATCAACTGTGGGTTTAGGATTTTTTGTGGAGGGTGAATTCCACAGACATTTGTCTTTTTAAACCTATCTTTATTTATACTTCATATTTATAAAATAAAAATGAAATATGTACAGTTTCTGTGCAGTTAAGTGTTTACATGTGCATTTATGTATGTATATTTGTCTTTTTTTTTACCCTATGTATATTTATAGTTTATGCTCAGAGAAATAAAATGAAAATGTGAGCTGTTTTTGCATTTAGTGTTCATTACTTACTTGTGTCCATATGTAAAGAAGATTCCTCCTGTTTACTTTTCATAATCATCTCCCCCCTCCTCCATAGACTGATGATCTCCACTCACCAACCTCTCTTCTTCTTCCTCTTTAACCTCAACTTTGACGACTTTCAGTTCTTTGCTCTAAACCCCAAAGATGATAGAATAAGTAAAAAAAACCACAAAGTCACATGTAGAATGTAATCTCATAGCTAACATGTACATTTTAGGTCTACATGCTCAGGGGTGGTGTGACCTTCCTGTGTGGAATCCCGAGAATACAGAGGACAGGGACATCTCTCTGGTGGGTTCCCATTACTGGATCCATCTACCTGATGATGGTGAGGAATGGTGTGACCTTCCTGTGTGGAATCCCGGGAATACAGAGGATGGGGACATATCTCTGGTGGGTTCCCATTACTGGATCCATCTGTAGGAAACACACACACTGACTGAATCCATTGTTTCTATGTATTTATCAGATGATGGGGGATCTAGGTGGACCCTCCGTACTGCTCTCTCCTTTACAATAAAGTCTCCCCTTACCGGTGATGTGTGGGGGCGGCTGATTGTCCATCATGACGTCCTTGTAGAGATCATATTACCTGATAATGTGAAGGTCTACATAACCTCAAACACTAATCTATATACATCAAAAGTTTATATTTTTAGTAATCATTACTCACCTGTGCTAATATTTACAGAAAGTTCCTCCTGATTGATATTTACTATCATTCCAATTTCTTCCATAGAATTCTGATAACCCATCACAGTCATCACCTCTTCTTCCTCTTTGACCTCAACTTTTACATACATCTGATCTTTATGCTAATCCCACAAAAAGAAAAAAAAAAGACTTTACTGTGAGGACCAGAAGTCTGAGAGAAGAGTATAATCCCATATACGCAAGAGTCACTTTTGTGTTCTACCTGATGATGGTGAGGGATGGCTGTAGAATCCCAGGAATACAGAGCACAGAGATGTCTCCCTGATGGGTTCCCATTACTGGATCCATCTGTAGGAAACACACACACTGACTGAATCCATTGTTTCTATGTGTTTAT